CTGATTCTTTGAGATAATTTAAAAATTTATTTTTGAAATTACCCATAAAATATTAATCTATAGCAAAAATATATAGCTACTATAAATTTAATGAAATTAATAATTGTGGTATTTAATTGATAATTAATCAATATTATATTTTATAAATCATAAGTTTATAAGCATAAATAAACTGAGAATTTTTCACAATAAACGCAAATTCCCTATTAAAGATGAAATAACAAATATTCTAATTAATAAAAAAAACATTTGATAATTTTCTCTTATGAATTTCTACTCAATAGATTTTGAAGAATAGGATTAACAAGGTACTTATTTTTATCATATCTAGAATTTGTTTAAGAACCATTACTACAATAATAAGAATAAATAATGTATTATGATTACGAATAAAGTGAGTAAAATGAACCAGAATAACTTAATACCTTTGATGGATATTTATAAGAGGAGCCAGTCCTTTTGTTTAATTTTGCAGAAGAAGCACCAAAAAAAAAATCAAGGCTCATTAACAGAAAATCAAAAAAAGTAAAAAAGGCTGATTCAGAAACTGAAGCCTCATAGAGTAATAGATCTAAGCCTCGTATCACAAATCGAGATTATTTGAAACTTTAACAATGTTAAAGATTAAAAATAATAATTACTTAGATGGAATCTCTCTTGCAACAAACACGAACTTAAATTTTTAACAAATACATGTAAAATCGTTCCAATTGAGTTTCTTTATTGATTATTTATATCGAGTTATATATGTTTATTCATAGTTTAACAAATACTTTATGTTTACATTCAATTTTAAGATCTTAATTCAAAAAATCTTTAAAAATAAAAAACTACAAAACTTTAGTGTGTTGAATTGCTTTATAAATGATGACAAATGCATACCAAAGCTCAGAAGAAGAACACTTTTTAATTTCACGATTTTGGGTTTATTTATTTTGAAAAAAAATGTGTCTGATAATTGAATTATTGAAATAATATCATATGAGGTAATGACTATATATAATAGAAAGTATATTATAATTAGATTTTAATTATAAAAATAAAAATTCACAAAAAATTAGTACTGGTTTTCTATTGTTTGTTTAATGTTTTATTTCAAAAGAAATTTATAAAATTATATTACATTAAAAGTATGCTGCTTTGCTTATGTAGTGCTGATTTATATAATCCTAAGAATGATTTTTAACTAATTGTTCATTGAATAAAAATAATTGAATTAGTTACGTATTTAATTGGAACCATTTATATCTATTTTTATACTGAAATACAACTTTGTTAAAGGGATTACAATTCTTTGAAAGGAATTAAATTATAAATATTATCAAATTATGAGTGAAAAAATTGATTCTAATATTTTAAAGAAATATGAAATAATGACTAAGATAGGAAAAGGTGCATATGGGGTAGTTTGGAAGGCAAGAGATATAAAATCTCAACGTATAGTTGCTTTAAAGAAAGTTTTTGATGCCTTTAGTAATCCGACTGATGCCTAACGAACGTATAGAGAAGTAGAAATAAATATGTTATTTTAGGTTAGCTTTTTAAAGTAACTAAATCATCCTAATATTATTCAACTAATTGATACATACCCCGCCGAAAATTAAAATGATCTATATTTGATTTTTGAATATATGGAAACAGATTTACATATTGCCATTCGAGCCAAAATTTTGTAGCCTCTACACAGAAGATATATCATTTATTAGTTATTCAAAGCCCTGAAATATATACATTCTTCCGGCATGATTCACAGGTATAAAATTCTATTTATATCTATTTAGAGACTTAAAGCCTGCTAACATTTTATTAGATTCAGAATGTAAAATAAAATTAGCAGATTTTGGTTTAGCACGAATGGTATGCACATTAGAATAAGATATACTTACAGATTATGTGGCAACAAGATGGTTTAGAGCTCCAGAAATTTTATTAGGATCGAAATCTTATTCATTTGGAGTTGATATGTGGTCAATTGGTTGCATGATTGGAGAAATGATATTAGGGAAGGCCTTGTTCTCAGGCACTTCGACAATAAATCAATTAGAAAAGATAATAGAAGTCTTAGGTATGCCAACACCAGAAGAAATTTAGAGTTTAGGAGGTTAAAATTAATTATTTGATAAATATCCCAGAAATTATAAATCTAATTTGAAATCAATTTTGAACTGTGATGATGATGAATTAGATCTCATCAAAAAGCTCTTAGTCTTTGATCCTAACAAGAGAATTTGTGTACAAGATGCATTAAGGCATCCTTATCTTAAAGAATTTTATAATCCAAAAGAGGAAATTACATTTAAAGGATAATTGATATTAAAATTACAAGACGATAAACAGTATCCGGTGTCTTCCTATAGAGATTTATTGTATAAATAAAATTTAGATTTGACTAAAATTTTAACTTTAGTAAACAAACAAAAATCTCTAATATAAAACATTTAGAGCAATAGATCTGATGCATTAAAAAAAAATTCAAGTTAATAATAGTTTTTAAATTAACAGTTCGCCAAAAGTGCGTTTATGAAGAGTAATTCAACAGTCAATATAGAAAAAAGTGTAAATAAAACAGCAATAGCTACTTTACATAACAGCAATTCTAAGCAAGCTTAAAATGCAAATGAATCTTCTTCTACATAAATTAAGAACAAATTAAGATAAATTTGTTTATGATCTGTAGATAAATGCGAAGCTGTTGTCCAAAACAAGTCTCCAAACTCTAAAATTTAACAAAAACCAAAATAACTAATCTAATCTAACTCGAAATAATAAATTTTGAATAATGTTACCAATACATCCATTAGTCCATCATAATCATAATAGCGACTATAGATTATAAGGCAATAAAATTAATAAGTATAAAAATGAAAAAATTTAATTCTTTATAAGTTACTAATATAAAAGTCTACAAAATATTTTTTTTCAAGAGTTTTGTTCTTTTTCCAATCTTTCTATTACTTATTCTTCTAAGGAATGAATCATTTTTATCGCATTCCTATATTCTGATTTAACTTAGTGTAATTCAACAATTTTATCTTGCAATTCTTTGTTCAATCTTTCTACAAGTCCAAAATCAGACTAGAATAATTTAAATATAATACTTAATATTATGAAGAATTTTAAAGCTTTTGTTGTAATTCTTTATTCTTTATCTGTTCGTATTCAAGTTGTTTCTTCAATTGAGTTATTTAAGTTGAGTAACTCAATCTTTCAGCATCCATATCAACACCAGATGATTTTAAGGTTGCTCTTTTTAGCAGAGCCAGCTCTCGTTTTAGATCATCTATTTATTGTTACCTAATTTTATTATTTGCGCTAGCTGAATATTATTGTAATTTGGATTCGAAAGAAATGATAACTTATTACTTCTCCTGTTACAGATAGTAAATCTCACTTCTCAATTTTTAGTTTTCAAATTATAATTCTTTGAATTAATCATTTATTTTATTTACTTAATCGCTTTACATTGTAAATTTCTATTATTCATTATGTAATCTAACATTACTTTAATTTAATCTTTCATTTTGAATTTATAATTGTTTTATTTCTTGCATTAATGCAATCTACTTTTGAGTTGATTCTTACAATTAAGTTTACAAAGACAAGTTTTATTATTTTATCAAACTAAGTTCATATAATATCTTTCTATATTATTCATCTTATTGATTATTTGTTTATTGTTCAGCGTAGGTTTCAACAATTCTGGACTACTCTATTTAGTAAGACCTTTATGAATATTATTTCTACTCTTCTAATTGCTATTATTATTATTGCTGCTATGATTGTTAATGTTTTTGTTACTATTACTATAGTTATTATTGTAAGTTTTATAGTTATCGTTATTATTCCTAACAAGATTATCTTTGCTCATTATACATTTTCTGAACATGTTCTAAATCCTCAATTGCATACTTGAACTTTTATTCTAATTCCGATTCTTTAATTTTTGATTACTTTAATTAATTTTATAATTAGAATATTTAAGTTTATTAACTATTTATTTAGCTTTTTAATGATTCAATTTATTGTAAATATTCTTCTATATTTAATTCATTTTAATCTTGTCCAGATTATAAATTAATAACCTAATCATTTATTTATTATTTCATTAAATTATTACTTTCCTATAGTCTCTTAATTTCTATTTGCAAAGACTAAATTTCTTATAAACAATCAAAATTTTATGCCTCTAATTATTAAATATACTCATTTTATTAACTATTAGACTTTTTTTCTAAAATATTCTTGCTCTCAATTACTTATTTCAACTTATATTTCAGTTATTCAATTTCATTTTGTTAATTACTAATTTTTTGATTCTATTAATCAATAGTTCTTTATTAATTCAAATTATTTTAATTCTTATCATTTGCACTCTGCTTTTGGCTAATATTGATTTAATTTCTTAGTTATTCATATTCAATTTCAATTTAATGCAACTCATAATATAGTAATTCATTTTTTAATCGTAACTATTCAATAACTTTATCTTTATTATTTTAATTTTATTATTAAATCTATCCTTATAATTCATCATATTTTTATTTCCAATTAGTTGATTCATCTAACACACTGAATTCCTAGGTTAATCTTTCTTTTTTAGGGGTAATCAAGTTTTATTTTGAATATCTTTCTGTTAGTAATTCTTCATACTTTTATTACCAAAGTATTATTTATTTCTTCAAATCTTCTTCTGAAGTTGATAGGTTCTTTTCATGAGAATTCAATAAATCTCCATTTGATTTTGCAGCTCTTAAAGAGGAGTAATAACTTATTCTATTGTTATTTGTAGCATAAAGTGAACAATTATAATATTTCCCTCTTAAATCATCGGTTGAATAACAAGATGAACTTGATTTATTCAGACTTTTACTCATATACTTGGCTTTTGGAGATTCAATAGTTAAAATTGGCTTATTAATCTCAATTTTTTATGGAATTTATTCTAATTATCTCTATATTTCTTGTTGATTTAATATTTCCTACTAAAGTCTTTTTATTTAGTTCTGCAGAGCAGAAGTCTCTTATTGATATTATAAATATAACTTTTGTTTTTCATTTGCATAATTCATTAAATCTTATTGTTATTTTTTAATAAAATCTTAGTTATTTAAAAGCTTATTATTTAATTTTTTATTTTCAGCATCTATTTGTTATATTTCCAATTATTTAATGCTTAATTATTTTTGTAAATCTTTGGATGGATCTAAGTAATAAGAATGTTGATTTTCTTATAATTTGCAGTAGATTGATTCTTAATCTTTTAATTATTAAATTAAATTTAGGTTTTATTGCTTAATATCAAAAATTTAACACTCGAGATTTTTTTAGATTGAATTTAAACTTTATATTTCTTTTTCCTTATCAAAAATAGATCTTTTTAATATATCTTTTTCTTCTTTAAATTACTTAGATAATAGAGAGTTTTAAGCTATTTAATCCTAAAGCTATGAAAAGTAATCACTCTCATTTTTCAAATTAACAGTACTCTGCTTTTATAATTAAAATAGTTAACCATTAACATTTTATAAATTAATTTTTAATTTATTTAACTCTTCTTCTTTTTTATCATAATTTAATTAAGTAAGTTGTAATTATTAATTGTATTAAGTAATAATGAGATTTTGTTGATCCAATTATTGCCTTAATTCATCATTTTTCTTAGAGAATTATTGGGATGTAAAAATTTCTATTTATTCTTAAGGAGTTGATAATTAAAATTCTTAAATTTGAGATTTTGAAACTGAAATATCCTTGTTGAGCTGTCTTATTTGATCAATAAGTAATTATTTATCCATTAATAAGTATGATTCATTATTTTTAGAAAGAGCTAATTCATTCTATAGTTGTCTTAACTAATCATTTAGTAATAATTTATCTTTTAATTAATTTTATTCTATATTTGCTTAGCTTTAATTCAATTTGTCCAATTAATAAATCAATTCATCATTCTTCTTTTATAATACTTAAACTTTATTAGTATCATTAGTATATTATGTTATTGATATTTAATATTCTTAAATTTAACTCTTGCTAACAGCAATC